GTAAAGGATTTTGACCATCTTGAAATCTACACATCAAATGACTACTACTTTAAATCCCTTTTGATGAACCTTGACAGTAATTTACCAATTGGCAGTTGGGTAGGTCAAATTTGGGGTGTCCCGGTTTGAATGAGGTTGGTGTCTTGTTATGATTACATGAATCAGCTTGATATGTTGCAGGTTGCAACTCTTGTACATGGTTGTGGAGATAAGAATAACCAGTACGATTAGGATTGTCACAACAATCCTAATCTTTTGAACTTTCGAATGGTCTACATTTGGAGAGTATTGAGTGGAATCTATTCTATTTTTTTCCTTATGTTGAGATGTTGTTGTGACTTTATGAGGTCAGGAGAAAATGTGTGATTTGGTATAGTTTTCTTGACTTAGAATTTGTCGTGTAGAAAAGAAGGGAGTCTGGGACTGGCAGGTGCATATTGACCATTGAGCATTTAGTAGTTCTTGGACGCTTTATGCTAGCTTTTGTATAAATATGTTTATATGAACTTGGTTTTAAGTTTCATTAAAGTCAATTGAAACTTTGTAGATTTTAAAAAGTAGTTAATTGATTCCTTTTCTTTACCTTGTGTTTCTTTTCTATAAATATAAATTCCAAATTGGAAACAAGAGGTCGGAACTTTGAATCATGGTTCGTAGACACATGGTTTAAATTTTATTTTGATTCTGATTATATATGCAGTAGAATGGAGAAATATTTTCTTGGTCCTTTTGGTTCAATTTTTCGTTGCTAAGGCTCATAGATTTCTTTTTATCAGATCCTATGTCTTCTCAATCGTCATCTGGTGCTTCAATTTGATTTGATATTTAAAAATGAACTCAGTTTACAATTTAGCACGCCTTCTATTTCTTCTCGTGTCTCGTAGGTTATTTTGTTTACGAATCAACTTTGATTTAACACTTCAAGTAGAATAATGATAGAGCCCGCAGTGCTTACACCACTCCACTAGGTCCACTCAGGACAACTGGTTCCTGCTGGTTTTGACTCTTTGAGGTGAGGAATTGAAGTTATGATATTCGCATTTTACTTTTAACTAATCCATAGTATTATTTATAATAAGACTTGTATGGCATAAGTTGTATTGTGTAGTTCAGATAAATGTTTTTGGACCTGCCTATTGTTTCCATAGATTCCAAACTGTCATCTTTGCTTGTTTTCCAGTAATGAACTCTAAATTCATTTTCTTTTAAACTGTCATCTTTGCTTGTTTTCCAGTAATGAACTTTAAATTCATTTTCTTTTGCAGAGTTTCTTCATTAACTGCATATAGCGTTTGGAGGCAGCGTCAGTCAGTTTCTCAAATCAGTCGACATTGTAGATGATTTAAGTTGAGAGATTCGTAAATTTGGATCCACATCTATCCTTGTATTCTAGTGTAACTGTGTAGATATCATTTTGTTAATTTACTTTGTGAGAGATTGAAACTTGAACTCCGGTTTGAAAAGATATGTTGCAATAGACCGATATTGACGCGTCATTGCATTTTCTAAAGTCTGTATGCTGATGTTACCTTTTTACTTGTAAGTGCTTTA